GTGTTTCTGCGAGCATAAGGCACAGGATTAAACAGCTCAATGTTTGAATGGTTTTTTGAAATGAATGAGAACGAAGAAAAAAAAGGAAAAATGACAATTTCCTTGAAAAGTCTTCAAAGTGTTGACGTAATTGTTTTCTTTTTTCCAAAAAATTCTAAGAGAACTCAAAATGGAACAGGTACTGGGGGCTTTTCCTTTGAACCCAACAAATCACTCTTGAGAAAGGTTTTAAGGAGTTTAGAAGGGGTTTTAAACTAAAAGAAAGAACTGCGAGAGTTTCGTCTTTCAGATAGAAGCTTTCTTTCTTTCTTTCTTTCTTTCTTTCTTTCTTTCTCAACTAGCCTGGTTTTTTTACAGGCTTGAAATGATTTTAGTATTGGCTGGCTTGTTCTACTACAGAACCTGGTACCAGGCTCAAGCTCAAGCTCAAGCTCAAGCTCAAGCAAAAGCTCAAGTCGATGTTTAAGAATCGAACTTCATTGCAAAATGCAAAGCCAGACCCAAGTCCACACTTTCAGCAAAAGTCCTAAATCCAAGCTTGAACTTGTCGTACTTCTAAGCCTTCACTGGTTTACAATTGGATCAAAACCAACTCCATAATAGATTTGGCTTTGTTCTTTGTGCTTTGGAAACGTAAACACACTCACAGGACGCTGGAGAGTTTTGAAAGAAAGTAGCGAAACAGAAAGAGCGAGAGAATTTGAGACTTGCAACTGAAACAAAAAGAACTAAGCCATTCTAAACCAGTCTAAGCCATTCTAAGCCAGCCTAAGCCATCCTAAACCAGTTGAAGCCATTCTAGGCCAGTCTAAGCCATTCTAGGCCATTCTAAGCCATTCTAGGCCAGTCTAAGCCAGTCTAAGCCAGTCTAAGCCAGTCTAAGCCAGTCTAAGCCATCCTAAACCAGTTGAAGCCATTCTAGGCCAGTCTAAGCTAGTCTAATCCAGTCTAAGCCAGTCTAAGCCAGTCTAAGCCATCCTAAGCCAGTCTAAACCAGTTGAAGCCATCCTAAGCCATCCTAAGCCATCCTAAACCAGTCTAATCCAGTCTAATCCAGTCTAATCCATCCTAATCCATCCTAAACAATCCCTGCTTTCTGTAACATCCAATACATCAAAATCTCTTCAAAAAACAATTTATACAAACATTCTTTTCTTTTTCTTTTTCTTTTTACGATCCTCATTCTCTTTAAAACCAGTTTCATAGTAGCCAGGAGCTGTGACAGGTGGAGGACATTCAGAACAAGGCCACGGATGTCCTGGTGGACCTTTTGGACCTAAAAACAAATGCATTTATCTCTTGATCTCTTGATTCAACAATCTCTAAAGATATTGTAATCATTTTTTAATGTTTAAAAAGATATTAAAGTTGTCTAGAAGATCTTGAAGTTGTCTAGAAGATCTTGAAGTTGTCTAGAAGATCTTGAAGTTGTCTAGAAGATCTTGAAGTTGTCTAGAAGATCTTGAAGTTGTCTAGAAGATCTTGAAGTTGTCTAGAAGATCTAGAAGTTGTCTAGAAGATCTTGAAGTTGTCTAGAAGATCTTGAAGTTGTCTAGAAGATCTTGAAGTTGTCTAGAAGATCTTGAAGTTGTCTAGAAGATCTTTAAATTGTCTAGAAGTTGTCTAGAAGATCTTGAAGTTGTCTAGAAGATCTTTACATTGTCTAGAAGTTGTCTAGAAGATCTAGAAGTTGTCTAGAAGATCTTGAAGTTGTTTAGAAGATATTAAAGTTCTTTAAAAGTCGAGATTTAAAGTTAAGGATTTAGAATTTTGAAATTTTGAATCCATAACTAATCAAGCGGATTTTAAACAATAAATTCTACAAATTTTGCTCTAAAATTGGCTAATCTTTAAGTGATTTTAAATAGATTTTAAATAAAATACCTAAAAGTACGAGTTTTTCATTGAAATCCTTTGAAATAAACCTCTTTCTCCGAGTAAACCGCGTTTCCCTTGCACTCCTCGATTCCCGTCTTGACCCTGATCACCTGGTTGACCTGGTGAACCTGAAAAGTGTGCTGTAAGTAGAGAAATCTATCGACTATCGCTTTATATCCATAATTCCCCTACCAGGTATCCCGTTTTTCCCTGGCGTTCCCTTTTCTCCTGGTTGTCCCCGCAAACCAACAGCTCCGTCTTTCCCTGGAGGACCAGACATTTCATAAATCTAGATTTCACTTTAAAAAATGATATTCTAAATAGAAAGCTATATAGAAAGCTATTTAGAGAAGCTAGAGAAGCTGAGAGAATCTTTGAAATCCTAGAAGAATCCGAATCCTAGAATCCTAGAATCCTAGAATCCTAGAACACAATCTAACGTCTTTTCCAATCAATAAACTTAACAAAACCTTTCCCGGTTCTCCTGGTTCTCCACGAGCTCCTAGTGGGCCTGAAATGAATAAATATTGTTCTAGACAAAGATCTAGATCCTTACCCTGGAATCCTTTAGGCCCGGATCGTCCTGGTTCTCCTTGTGGACTTGGTGGAGAGGGTCGACCTGGTTTTCCCTCATATCCCTTGCGGCCTCGTGCTCCTCGTGGACCCTCTGGCCCTGGGTCTCTAAAATCTACCTAGAATCTCTAAAGTCTAACTAGAATCTCTAAAACCTATCTAGAACCTCTAAACCCTATCTAGTCTCCCCTATCTTCCCAAAAGCCAATCAAAACCATTAGAACTAAAAGTCTCTACTCTCCAAAAGTTTCTACAATCTCTAAAAGTCCTATCTAGAATCTCTAAAACCCATCTAGAATCTCTAAAAGTCTATCTACAATCTCTAAAACCTATCTACAATCTCTAAAACCCATCTAGAATCTCTAAAAGTCTATCTAGAATCTCTAAAACCTATCTACAATCTCTAAAGGCTACCTCTAAAAGTCTATCTAGAATCTCTAAAGTCTATCTAGAATCTCTAAAAGCCTATCTAGAACCTCTAAAAGCCTATCTACAATCTCTAAAACCTATCTAAAGCCTCAAAAATCTATCTAGAATCTCTAAAGTCTATCCAAAACCTCAAAAATCTATCTAAAACCTCTAAAACCTCTAAAACCTCTATTATCTTTAAAATCTCTTAAATAAAACCCCTCAAGCTGCCTATAGAAGTGAATTGCTCAAACCCGGGCTCTCCTTGAGGACACGGGCGCTCGCATGTCGTTCTCGGATCTCCTTCAGCTGGACGACCTGGTGAACCGTCGGATCCTAGATTTTATTCTATAAAATGAAACTCTTGTCTTCTTTAGCTTACTGTAGCTGCTAGCTTACTGTAGCTACTAGCTTACTGTAGCTGCTAGCTTACTGTAGCTACTAGCTTACTGTAGCTACTAGAATATAACTACGTCTTTGATACTAATATAATCGAATCTTGTTTTTCAGTTTTTTTCATTCATTTACCCGGACTCCCATCATCACCATCGATGCCATCTTGTCCCGATTCACCCGGTGGACCTGGTAAACCGACGCAGCAAGCTGAAAGTAAAAAAAGGGGGGAATCTAGAAGGACGAGATCTAAACAAATCAATGATACTATATCAATGACAGTTCTTTCGACAGCTCACTTTGCATTTGTCTTTTGAATCGCTTCCTTGTGTTCATCTCGAATTTGAGCTCATCAACTCGTCGCCAAAGTTGAGCGATCATTGCCTGAGAGCAATCAGTTTATAGTTTATAGTTTATAGTTTATAGTTTATAAACTAAACTAAACTATGTACTAAAATCAAAAACTTGATGAGGTGTTGAGGAAAGTTAGACTAAAGTTGAACAAGGTTAGGTTAGGGCTTGGTGAGGCTAGGGCCTCTAGGTGAGACTAGGGCCTCTAGGTGAGACTAGGGCCTCTAGGTGAGACTAGGGCCTCTAGGTGAGACTAGGGCCTCTAGGTGAGACTAGGGCCTCTAGGTGTTGCTAGGGTTTGGTGAGACTAGGGCCTTTAGATGAGACTAGGGCCTCCAGGTGATGCTAGGGCCACTAGATGGAGTCTAGGGCTTCTAGGTGAGACTAGGGCTTGAAGGTAAGACTAGGGCAAGGTGATGCTAGGTCCTTTAGATGATACTAGGGTTTCTAGGTGAGGATAGGGCCTCTAGGTGATGCTAGGGCTTCTAGGTGAGACTAGGACCTCTAGATGAGACTAGAGCTTCTAGGTGATGCTAGGGCTTGGTGAGACTAAGGCCTCTAGATGAGACTAGGGCTTCTAGTTGATACTAGGGCCTCTAGGTGATACTAGGGCCTCTAGATGAGGCCAAGACGAGCCAGGGTCGAGCCTGGCTTGGCTGAATTAGAGCTAGTTGTAGCTAGCTAAGCCAAAAAGGCTAGTCTAATAATAGGCTGAGCTAGCGGTAGAACAGCTTAGTCATTGAGCTAGTCTAGAAGTCTGAGTAGGCCAGACCAAAGCTCTCCTTTGATCCTGATCCTTGGTACTACGATTTTCAGCAAAGCCACATGTTTTATATAATTTTATATTTCTCCCGTAGCCTTCTGGATTCGTGGATGTGAAATTGAACAAACGAATTGCGCGGAAAGAAGCTGTTCAAGCTGTTCAAATAGAGGCTCTCCCCTTTCAACTGTCGATTTTAATATTTTCAATTCATTCTCCCATTTCCGCTTTCATAATTCTATATTTGTTTGAAGAGATTTCCTTTGTCTTATTGATCTTCTTGATGATCTGAAGAGCTTGGATGGTCTGAAGAGCTTGGATGATCTGAAGAGCTTGATGATCTGACCTCTGAAGAGCTGAAGAGCTGAACCAGCAGATTCCTGTCCTGGCTTAGCTTAGCTTAGCATAGCTTAGCTTAGCATAGCTTAGCTTAGCATAGCTTAGCTTAGTCCTTTAGCTTTTCCTTTAGCTTTTTTGTTAATCTCTAACTCTGTCCAATTGTTAACCTAACATATCTTTTAAATATTGTATTTTAGATTGATTTTAGCTCGATTTCAGATCAATTTCAGATCAATTTTAGATCTTTTTCAAAGCACTCACCGGACAAATTCCTTTTTCATTTCCTTTCAGAGTGAAAATGGCATTGAAAAGAGCAAGAGGCACTAGAGCACAGGCACAAACAATCGCTCCAACAGAAAGCGAGACAGCCATACGAACCATTGAAAGGGATCAGATCAATGGGACATTGAGTGCTTTGGTGCCGGAGGATCCTCTAAGTACGGAAGAAGCGCCGATCGATGTACCTGATCATCAGGAATTGCACAGGTTTGGACTTGGAGAAAGTGCAAAAAGAGCAAGAACAATTAGTGCATTGCTGCAAGTCAGCTTTCATAGCGATTGCGAAGTTTGAAGCTGTCCAACTTCAATAGTTTTTCTACTAATCGATAGAGAAAGACTTGGGGATTCTAATGATACCAAAAGAATTTAAATTGAACAAACCAACACCAAGAAATTTGAGCTCAAAGTTTCCAATGTAAATGGCAGCGTATCAAATCTCCAAAATTTTATAGCAAAGCTAGATAAGAGTAGGTAGGCGTTTAGTTTAAGCCGAAAAACTTGACTAGAATCATATTAAGCTGACCATTAAGCTGGCCATTAAGCCGGATATTAAGCCGGATATTAAGCCGGACACTAAGCTGGCCATGAAGCTGGCCATTAAGCCGGACATTGAGCTAGCCATTAAGCTGGCCATGAAGCTGGCCATTAAGCCGGATATTAAGCCGGACATTAAGCTGACCATTAAGCTGGCCATTAAGCTGGCCATTAAGCTGGCCATTAAGCTGGCCATTAAGCCGGACATTAAGCTGACCATTAAGCTAGCCATTAAGCCGGACATTAAGCTGGCCATTAAGCTGGCCATTAAGCTGGCCATGAAGCTGGCCATTAAGCCGGACATTGAGCTAGCCATTAAGCTGGCCATTAAGCTGGCCATTAAGCTGGCCATTAAGCCGGCCATTAAGCCGGATATTAAGCCGGACATTAAGCTGACCATTAAGCTGGCCATTAAGCCGGATATTAAGCTGGCCATTAAGCCGGACATTAAGCTAAAAGCTTACTAGTTAGCTTAAAGCTTAGCTTTAGCTTAAGCTTGACGACTTTCTATATTCTAGAAGACTTTCTAAATTCTAGAAGACTTTCTAAATTCAGAAGAATTTCTATCTTCTAGAAAACTTTCTATATTCTAGAAGAATTTCTAAATTCTAGAAAACTTTCTATATTCTAGAAGACTCTATATTCTAGAAGACTTTCTAACTTCTAGAAGACTTCACGCAGCCCATCATGCTCGAGCTGTCGACGAGCTCAACTCGAATCATTTAAAAAGAGGCAAAGAGAAAGTGATAAAGACAAAAAGGAGATCAAAGAATGGGCAAAATCAATCAAAGAATACGGATGAATTCGAATTTACGAGAACAACGCTCACAAAATCGTCGTCAACAAAAACAAATGAGAGAACGATCGAGTGGAATGATGGAGTGTCAAGGCTTTTGTTAGAAGAAGCTCCAATGGTTTGTTTCTTTTTTAAACTAAGCAATTAACAAAGTAGAAGTAGAGAGGAAGTAAGGAAGTAGAAAGAAGTAGAAAGAAGTAGAAAGGAAGCAAGGAAGTAGAAGAGAAAGCCGAAAAAGAGATTTAATTTCTTTATTTTTAGATTAATCAATCAAATTTTCACTTAAAAGTTTGTGAAAACGACGATGAAATTGAGATGGAAAGATCCTTTGAGGAAGTCCAACAAATACTCGAATTTCATGATGAACAACGAGAAACAGATGGTAAGATTTGTTGAAGATTGAAGGAGAACAATTTTGGACTTTTTAGATTCATCTGTGATTGGACAAATGTTGGGACAAATGTTATCAAATGATGTCATTCAATGTGTCCTCCTTGCCGTCATCGCCGCTTTCTTTCTTCCCCTTGTTTATGCTCAGAATTTACGTGGGTTTCTAGTTTTTTTGAAGAAATAAGCTTTGGTTGAAGCTCTGATTTGATTAGTTGTTAGTTAGCTGTTAGTTAGCTGTTAGTTAGCTGTTGTTAGCTGTTAGTTAGCTGTTAGCTGTTAGCTGTTAGCTGTTAGCTGTTAGCTGTTAGTTGTTAGTTGTTAGCTGTTAGTTGTTAGCTGTTAGCTGTTAGCTGTTAGCGTTAGCTGTTAGTTGTTAGTTGTTAGCTGTTAGCTGTTAGCTGTTAGCTGTTAGCTGTTAGCTGTTAGCTGTTAGTTGTTAGTTGTTAGTTGTTAGTTGTTAGCTGTTAGCTGTTAGCTGTTAGCTGTTAGCGTTAGCTGTTAGTTAGTTGTTAGCTGTTAGCTGTTAGTTGTTAGCTGTTAGCTGTTAGTTAGTTGTTAGCTGTTAGCTGTTAGTTGTTAGCTGTTAGTTAGCTGTTAGCTGTTAGTTAGTTGTTAGCTGTTAGCTGTTAGCTGTTAGCTGTTAGCTGTTAGCGTTAGCTGTTAGCTGTTAGTTGTTAGCTGTTAGCTGTTAGTTAGCTGTTAGCTGTTAGCGTTAGCTGTTAGCTGTTAGCTGTTAGCTGTTAGCTGTTAGTTAGCTGTTAGTTATTAGCTGTTAGTTGTTAGCTGGTTGTTTGTTAGCTGTTAGTTAATTGTTAGCTCTTAGCTCTTAGCTCTTAGCTGCTAGCTATTTGTTTCATTCAGTTGATTTCATTGATTTCATTTGATAGGCTCATTCAAGATCAAGAGAAGTAACTGTGAGTTGGAAGACTTTAAGGACTGTAAGACACCAAGAACTGTAAGACATCAAGAACTATAAGACTTTAAGAACTGTTAGACAATAGCTTTTGAAGCAGAACTTTGTCTAGATCATTGTCTTGGTTCTAAGATCATTCCAGACCAAGAGAAGTAACTATAAGTTGTAGGATTTTGTCTAGATCTTTGTCTCTTTGTCTAGATCATTCTCTAACTTTGTCTAGATCTTTGTCTTGGTTCTAAGACCATTCCAAATCAAGAGAAGCAAGTCAAAGCCAATCATGACAAAGCAATAAGTAAAAAAACGACTTTAAAGCAGAAAAATCAATAAAGAACTTTAAAAGAAAGATTTAAAAATGAAAAGTGAATGAAGTGAATGAAGGCAAACTTTTCTGAAGAATAATTGGTGTGTGGTGTCTGTTGAATCGTTTTTCGGACAGGTTCAACTTGGAAAGGTGCTAAGGATTGGGAAAAGAATTGGGAAAAGAATTGGGAAAGGGGATCCAAAAGAGAACCAGTCCTCCTTCAAAGCAATGAGAGTATAATAATTTGAGAAAATTAGAAGAATCTTTGATATTTTCATTTAGGCGAATATAGATATAGTTGTAAGAATTTGGCTTGATTCCTTGGATAATTAAGTGACAGAAAAAGCTGGAGTTGAAGCTGAACAAACTGAAGCTGAAGTTGAAGTTGAAGTTGAAGTTGAAGCTGAAGCTGAAGCTGAAGAAACTGAAGCTGAAGTTGAAGTTGAAGTCTGAAGAAACTGAAGCTGAAGTTGAAGTTGAAGCTGAAGAAACTGAAGCTGAAGTTGAAGCTGAAGAAACTGAAGCTGAAGTTGAAGTTGAAGCTGAAGAAACTGAAGCTGAAGTTGAAGTTGAAGCTGAAGAAACTGAAGCTGAAGTTGAGTTGAAGCTGAAGAAACTGAAGCGAGTTGAAGCGAGAAACTGAAGCAGCGAAGCTGAGCGAGGGGAGCGAAGCGAAGCCGAAGGAAGGGCGAAGAAACTGAAGCGGAAGTTGAAGCGAGAAACTGGGGGAAGCTGAGGAGGAAACCGAAGGAACTGAAGCTGAAGTTGAAGCCAAGAAACTGAAGCTGAAGTTGAAGCTAAGACTGAAGCGAAGAACTGAAGCTGAAGCCGAAGCTGAAGTTGAAGTTGAAGCTGAAGAAACTGAAGCTGAAGCTGAAGCTGAAGCTGAAGCTGAAGAAACTGAAGCTGAAGAAACCTAAGCTGAAGTCGAAGCTGAAGCTGCTAAGCCAAGCATGCTGAAGTCCAAGTTCAAGCCTAAGCCTGAGCCTGAAGTTGAAGCCTAAGCCTAAGCCTAAGCCTTCAGCTAAGCTGAAGCTAAAGAAACTTAAGAATTCGCTTTTAGCATTCAATTAACCTATTTAGCTAAACTCTTTCTTCAATTTTATAGAAATCCAAGCGTGTTGCGGTGGGCAAGCTCAACTCGCTGAATGCCAAAACTTTACCCGAGCTCAGGATCTTCTCGGTGTCGCGTGTTGTGGCCTTCAACCATACAATGCTTTCACGAAAATTTGTTGCAATGGAGTGAGGGAATCGAAAAAGAAAGAATCGTTTCTTAAGAAAAGAAAGAGAATTCTTAAAAACAGCATTTTCTACCATAGATTATCAGAAATTTAATACGCCATCCGCCTCTTTTCCCATTGGCAACTTTGAGCTCAATTTTCTTGGTGTTGGTTTGTCCAATTGAAGTATTTTTGGTATCATTAGATTCGCCAAGTCTTTCTCTATCGATTAGTAGAAAAACTATTGAAATTGGACAGCTGCACACCAAGGAATTTGAGCTTAAAGTGCTAAGGAGAAAAGGTCGTCACTTTCTCGTTGCCTAACTTTAAGCTCAAATATCTTCGGGTTTGATTATCCAATTGAAATCCTTTTAATATCATTAGAATCTCCAAGTCTTTCTCTATCGATTAGTAGAAAAACTATTGAAGTTGAACAACTGAACACCAAGAAATTTGAGCTTAAAGTGCTAATGGGAAAAAGTCGTCCCTTTCCCGTTGCCTAACTTTGAGCTCAATTTTCTTGGTGTTGGTTTGTCCAATTTAAATCCTTTTGGTATCATTAGAATCCCCAAGTCTTTCTCTATCGATTAGTAGAAAAACTATTGAAATTGGACGGCTGAGCATCAAGAAATTTGAGCTTAAATTTAGATTGCCAAAAAGGCGAGGCAGAGGATCGCCAATGGCAAAGGGGGTGGGGGATCAAATACCCCTTCAATCTCCCTGGCAAACAAGCCCCTATGGCCGACTGGCTAAGTGCCCTGTCTCTTAGTCGAAAGGTCAAGGGTTCAAACCCATCAGCTGGATATTTGCTTCCTTTTTCCATATATCAGCCTCTAGATTCAGGGCTCAGGCTAGCTTATTTTTTGTAACTTATTCGTGTAATGTATTTCCATAGGCTGTTCGCTATCGTCAAACACCGGATGGTCGCTACGCGGAGTTGTGCTGTGGGACGAGCACACTTGCCTACGATCAAACGTGTTGCGATGGAGTGGTGGGAAATGTTTACGAATACCCAATAAACCTAGAACAAGTTTGTTTCTAGCGAAAGCTCCGGCAAATCCTTGGAGAGCAGTTCGTCTAGGCTTAGCGCTAGATTCCTCCTTCCCATCCCAATCCAGCCATCGCTAGGCTCCGGTTCTTTCAACCTGGCGAACTGGGCTGGCGCAAACTGGGCTGGAGTTGACTGAACTATTTTAAAATCTATTCTAGACCTAGAACCGGGCTAGACAGAGCTGTCCGAACTGGACTGCACTAGAACTAGTCATGAATCTAAAGAACAAATACAGATTCCTATAGGTTCACAACGTGGCCAGTGGTGACTGTTGTGGGGCGGTGGTTTACTCGAAAAGCGATCCAAATCTCAAATGCTGCAATGAGACGCTGGTCAGGTAGGAAATGGACTATTCGATAGCTTTAGAATAGAAGAGATATGGCAAGCTTTAGCCTAAGCTAAAGCCAAAGCTAAAGCCAAAGCTAAAGCCTAAGCCTAAGCTCCTAAGCTAAAACCTAAGCCAAAGCCAAAGCTAAAACCTAAGCCAAAGCTAAAACCAGAGCCAAAACCAGAGCCAAAGCTAAGCTAAAGCCAAAGCCTAAGCCAATAGCAAAGAAATGGGCTGCTTTTATACAGGCCCCGCCCCTTTTCCCATTAGCACTTTAAGCTCAAATTTCTTGATGCTCAGCCGTCCAATTTCAATAGTTTTTCTACTAATCGATAGAGAAAGACTTGGCGAATCTAATGATACTAAAAGGATTTCAATTGGATAACCCAACACGAAGAAATTTGAGCTCAAAGTTACGCAATGAGAAATGTCGTCTTTTTTTAGATCAAATTCACCGAATGACATTTGCTGTGGCTCCACAACGTTTGATGGAGGACGAACGCAAATGTGTTGTGGAGAATCGGTGAAAGCTTTTCTTTAGCTTAGCGTCTTTGCATTCATTACATTCAATTTTCAGGTCTTTCAACTGAGCGACTTTGACAGTTGTTGCGAATCGCCGGATGGAGATTTTTCGGTAAAAAAAAGCCGTAGAACAACTTTTCTAAAAGCTCTTTTCACTTCTTTTAACTTTAAGCTTCTTTAACTTCTTTAAGCAATTCTTGAAAGCCTAGAGATGGCTAGGGATGGCTAGGGATGCCTAGGGATGCCTGGGGATGCCTGGGGATGCCTAGGGATGCCTAGAGGTGCCTGGGGATGGCTAGAGATGGCTAGGGATGCCTAGGGATGCCTAGAGGGGCCTGGGGATGCCTAGTGATGGCTAGGGATGCCTGGGGATGCCTAGGGATTCCTGTAACGAGCCACAGTACCTTCAAAAACCCCATTTTCCAGCAATACAACTCGGCTACGCAATTCTGCTGTGGCACACCGCAGCAACGAAACGGCAACATTGCTTGCTGTTATCTCCGCCAAAATGGGCAACTCATTCAAGCGTCATACGATAAAACGACTCAATGCTGTCAATTTCCTTTTCAACTCATCTCACCGATGGTTAACAATACGTGCATTTGATTTATGAGGCATTGTTGTCTGTAGAAATAAACGGAAATGTTCAAGCAAAGGAAAACGATTTAATGAAATTCTGCTCTAAATTTGATATTCTTTCATGAAAGATTCAGAAATATTAAATAAATGATCGGAATCTGAAGTATATTAGAAAATCATATAATAGGTATAATATCATATCATTAATGTAGAATTTCTGTCATTGGAATCTGAATTTTGATCTGAAAATGATCAGAAATTGATCTGATTCTGATCTGAATCTGTCAAATGCGAAAAAAGCTCCACGAGGAATTGAACCCTCATTTTCAACCCTCATCTTTGACTGGCAGTCTAGCCTCTTATCCACTAGGCCACCAACACCCTCCCTGCCCCCCTCGAAAAGACCTTTTTAACCCATCCGTTAACAAAAACTCGCCTTCTTTCTCCCTTTCCCCTTCCTTTAACTACACAAACTTTGATGATCCATAACTTTGCTTACAAACAACCTTATTGTAAACTTTTTCTATCGTTTTAACAAGGAAAATCCAGGCTTTCAAATAAGACCAAATTTTGCTTGATTCGATCATTCAGTCTGATGAAAATCAAAGCCAAATGTCGGCTGTTCTTGATTTTTATGGAATCGAATGCCAAGCTCTCCTGGCTTGACTCTTGGGACTTTAAATCCCAAGAGTCAAGCCTAAGTTAAAAGCCAAATTCTCAGGCTAAGCCAGAGCCTAAGCCAAGCCAAGTCTAATGCAGTGAAAGTCAAGTCAAGCCAATGCAGCTAAAGCCAAGCTAAACCCAATGAAGACAAGCTAATGCAGAGCCAAAGCTAGGTTAAACCTAATGAAGACAAGCTAATGCAGCTTAAGCGTAAGCCTGAACCGAGCCAAGCAGACAAGCTAATGCAGCCTAAGCCTAAGCCTAAGCCAAGTCTAATGCAGCTAAGCTAATGCAGCCAAGCCAAGCTAAACCTAAAGCCTAACCAATCTAAGGCCAACTTTACTCAAAAGAATGAAAAGAAACAATCATGCTAAGATTTCCAATCGAGATTTTGTTTCTACAAATTTCTACGATTCTTTTCACTAATTGACTGACTTTAATTGAAAATTGGTGTCAAAATTAGTGAGATTCGAGATGGTGAAAATGAGTGAGAAGATTTCCTTAACGATTTAAAAGAGACGCAGACGCGAAATGAGTAAACGAAAAGGTGCTTTCCAACGAGAGAAATGTTGATGTTGTCATGGTGATCGGATCTGCTCGAATCTTTCACCATCTCGATTCTCATCCTTCAATATATTAGAGAAGCTATATTAGAGAGCTTTTCTTTTAAAAGCTTTCTTTTCTTTGCTTGCTTTGCTTTGCTTTCTTTGTTTACTTTGTTTTCTTTGTTTACTTTGTTTTCTTTGCTTTGTTTTCTTTGTTTACTTTGTTTTCTTTTCGTTTTCAAGTCTAAGGCTAAGCTAAGCTAAGCTATACAGACTATAACCTAGACTATAACCTAGACTACCACCTAGATTATCAGCTAGATTATAACCTAGACTATAACCTAGACTATAACCTAGACTATAACCTAGACTATAACCTAGATTATAACCTACCGTATTTACTCTATTAAAAGCCCCGGGGCGTTTATTTTTTCGATACCCCTCAAGGGGGGGCGTTTATTAGAGGGGGGGCGTTTATTGGAGGGGGGGCTTTTATTTTTCGATAGCCCTCTGCAGGCGTACTTAGACACATAATTGACGTTGATTCAACGATAAAAAAAATAGTAGTGCAAATAAAGCATTCGAGATCATAAGTCACTTTTATCGAATTATTTATTTATTTCAACAACAAAAATTAACAGAAACTAAGAATGTAAGAAAAACAGCATTTCAAGCAATTGATGTATCAGAATCGTATTCAGCCTCTTGTCTAGGCTCACGAAAATTTGCTGATTCGATGCTTGGGACTAAAATTTTATCGATTTCCTTATCCAATCGGGCACTCTGAATTGCTTTAAATCCGGAAGGTATCGGGCCATCTGAGCGGAAGCAGTGAATAAGATGATCTTCTTTTCCATCCTGATCAATTCCTACTCCGCAGATTTTAAATGACTCGGCAATCATTTCTGAAGATAGTTTTTCCCAAGACGAAGCAATCCATTCCAGATAAACATCCATTGCAGGAGGTTTGGGGTTACCACCACCAGATCCATCAGCTTTCGATTTCGTCAATTCGGGTGCCGTTGATAGGATCCAATCTTCATATTGATGTCGAATATATTTTTTAAAGGGAGCATTCCAGGAAACATCTGCACATTGAACAAATTTAGTCGTGCCTCCAGGTACAAAAAAGCAGTCTAGCTTTAGTTTTGTCAAAGATTTCATCGTTGATTCGCTTCGATGGGCCGTGTGTTGATCCCATACTAGGAAAGAGCGTTCCTTTTTGTCAAAGAACCCAATCCCCCGAAAGGTCCTTTCCAAATAATCAGTTGTGATTGAGTTATCGAAGCATTTTTGCTCTTTACCACTCCAATAAAGGATTAATCGTTTGCGAAACTTTTCTTCAACTTTCTTATCCATTCTTTTTCGTGGTAACACAACAAACGGTTTCATCTTAGTACCGCCCCCAAGTGTCCCCAAAAAGTTTCCCCAAACTGTCCCCAAAGAGAAAATCTAATATGGAGAGTTTAAACAATTTCGTCTGTAACAGAATTTTAAAAAAGCTCTAGAGAAAAAAAGAAAACGAAGCATTTCAGTATCAAAAAGAGTTCCCATATGGGGACACTTTGGGGAAACTTTTTGGGGACACTTGGGGGCGGTACTTCAAAAGTATACGGCAAATCAACAAAACGTAAAAATGATTACTTAGAAAGTTTAAAAGAGAAACCAAAAAATTATCAAAAAAAAGTCGCTATTCCTATGTAGTTTGTAAATTTTCGTACTTGGGGGGGGGGCGTTTATTGGAGGGGGGGCGTTTATTTTTTTCGATACCCCTCTAGGGGGGGCGTTTATTAGAGGGGGGGCTTTTATTAGAGTAAATACGGTAGATTATAACCTATATTATAAGCTAGACTATCAGCTAGATTCTAACCTAGATTATAACCTAGATTATAACCTAGATTCTAACCTATATTATAACCTATATTATCAGCTAGATTATCAGCTAGATTATAGACTCTATTTTCTATATTCTCTATCCTTTTAACTCCGATGTTCAATGGGAAATTTCTGTTGTGGCCCCAACGACCACCAGAAGAATTCAAGGTAATTTAATAGAAGATAACGATAAGAAGATAACGGTTAAGCTTAGATCGATAAGAAGATAACGATTAAGTTTCTATCGTTTTTCAAAAGCTTACAATATTTAAATCCTTTTCTAGAATCTATTCAAATCAAAATTTAAATATCACTAATTCTAGAGAAATTGTGCTAGCTTGTTTTGGCATTGACGGTGCTGGAAAGACGAGTTCTTTGAAGATTTTGAGAGGAGGTGAGTGAAAAGAAATCACAAATATAGTCTCTAATAGTTGGCGTTGTCTAAATTCGTTGAAATCTCGAAAACCTTATCTATTGATCAAAATCTATTGGTGTGGGGTGAGAGAAAATGTAGCTAACGATGAGATCTTCTGAGGGATTAGACTCTTGAGCTTCTGGAAAAGCTAACCATGAGATCTTCTGAGGGAGAGCTTGAACTTCAAAACCGTTGAATAGTCGAAAACTCGGCTCAACGGCTACTATAGAGGGAATACGGAAGTCCTTGAGTCTTAGACATCTAGACATTCTAGAGATTCTAGACATCCTAGCCATTCTAGAGATTCTAGACATTCTAGACATTCTAGACATTCTAGACATTCTAGAGATCCTAGCGATTCTAGAGATTCTAGAATCCTAGCCATCTAGAATCCTACCCATCTAGAATCCTAGCCATCTAGAATCCTAACCATCTAGAATCCTAGCCATCCAGAATCCTAGACATCTAGAATCCTACCCATCTAGAATCCTAGATATCTAGAATCCTAGCCATCTAGAATCCTAGATATCTAGAATCCTACCCATCTAGAATCCTACCCATCTAGAATCCTAGATATCTAGAATCCTAGCCATTCTGTTGTCTGTCAATCCTTACAGTGTCCGGGCTGGGTGAGTTTTCCCGTGTTGAGTCAAATTAAGCCGCAGACTCCACCCCTGGTGGTGCGATTCCGTCAATTCCTTTAAGTTTCAGCTTTGCAACCATACTACCCCCGGAACCGGAAGTCTTTCGTTTCCGGGAAGACATTTTCGGGAAAGACATTCTAGAATCCTAGCCACTCTAGAATCCTAGCCATCTAGAATCCTAGCCATCTAGAATCCTAGCCATCTAGAATCCTAGCCATCCTTAAATCCTAGAACTAGAACACTAGAACTAGAATGAACAAGAGTTACAGAACCTAAACAAAGCTTAATCAAAGCATAAGCGAATGAACAAACTAATCAACAAACTAATCAACAAACAAATCAACAACAAATCAACAACAACAACAACAAACAATTAGAATAATTCCACTTTACAGAAAGCCCACAAAATGTGCTCTCAACGAATGGTTTCTCGTTGATGGAGATGACTTTCGATGACGAGTTTAAAATCAAAATCTACGACTTGGGTGGAAATGAACGAATCCGAGACATTTGGCAGAACTATTATGCTGAGGTTTAACCAAATTTTACTTATAATCTTTCCTATTTTACTCTAATCTTTCCTATTTAACTCTAATCTTTCCTATTTTACTCTAATCTTTCCTATTTTACTCTAATCTTTCATATTTAACTCTAATCTTTCATATTTTTAACCAAAATCGATCAAAAATCGTTGAAATTCTTTAAAAAACGATCAAAACGCTCAAAAACGATCAAAACGCTCAAAAACGATCAAAAACCTATCAAAATCTTTCTATTGTTTGAAGTAAACGATTTAAAACGATAGTCTCGATAGCTAGATTTAAAGTCTACCCTTTTAGCTTTCTGTCTCAATGAATTCTTTGTCAAGAATGTAAGAAGAAG